ATTTCTTTTCAAAAACAAAAAAAGAAAGAAAGAAAGAAAGAAAGAAAGAAAGAAAGAAAGAAAGAAAGAAAGAAAGAAAGAAAGAAAGAAAGAAAGAAAAGATGACTTTAATAAGGTTCCAGAGGGAAGGGGAAGCAAAAAATCATCTACAGTTAGTAAAAAAAAAACCAAAAAAAAAAAAAACCACCCAAAATAACAAACAAAAAAAAACCAAGAGAGGCATCAGAGTTCTTTTCGACTATACTCCAGAAAGTAGTAAGGCACTTACATTCTGAGATCAAATTATTTCAATCCAGATTTTATATCAAACCAAACAGCCAGCCACATGTGAGGACAGAATAAGGGCCTTTTTTGACATTCAAGGACTGGAAAAATTGACCTCTCCAAAGTCTCTCTCAGGAAGGACCTGAAGGTGTACACCATCAAAAATGAAAAAGCAAAACAAAAAAGAAGAATGCATTGGATCAAGGAAACATCTGACACACTGTGGAGCAACCAAAAGGGAGAAAGAAAAGAATTCCTGGGAGGCTACTACGCAGCAGTCTATGAAATAAATGAGTTCTGATGGGAGCAGGAAGTAAGGGGCTCTAGATAGTAATGTACAGGAAAAAAAAATTTAAGAAAACGAAAAGTTGGAGTTGTTCTGGAAAAAGTGAAAATGTGAAAGTATAAAAAGCGGTAAAGTACAAATCATTTTAGCAGTTCTCAGAATAGCAAAGATGGGGTCACTGAGTCTGAAATATAAACTAAACTGAAAGGTGGTATAATTCTGAGAATTGAAGGCATATAAGAAAACACAATCCATTTGATGCTGACACTCAGAACATTTGCTTCAGAATGGCCCAGAAGGGATGGAATTGGGTCCACTAATCCTTGTACCACCACATGGGCCAGCCCCGGACAATATATACACAGTCATAACAAGGTTCATGGTGATTCTCAATTTTAGAGTCAATCAATATTCACAGATGACTTCAATGTGACTACAGCTTAGATAGTAAACAGGACCTGTATTGACAGCATAAATTGTTATCATATAGCTGAGAGAAGGTGGAATGAAGCAGAGGAATAGGAAAAGTTGAGGAAAATGTAGAAGTTATAATATACTTATCTGACAAAATGGAGAATCAAGGGACGCTTTTCAAAGTTATTGAAACTAGAAACTAGGGTTTAAAAGGTAACTAATTGGAGAATTTAAAACAAAACTGTTAAGTATTACTCATAAAAGGAAGAGGAGAGTGCAAGTGAGGTAAATCTTCAAGTATTATGAGTGCAAGTGGATACTTTCCATTTATAGATGTAAGCACTTAAGAGGCAAAAAGATTCTGTTGAAGGTAATAATTGGGATCTTCATGTTCACCATACTTTCTGTATCCTTTTTTACTCTGTGCATGTATTGCTTTTAAAATATTATAACATTTTTGAGATGATAAGACATGCTAACTTCCATTTTCTAGTTTTCTAAATCTAAGCAATTTCAAATGGGTCAATTTGTTATCAAGTTAAAAATAAAAGAGGAAGTATATGTGCATCAATATAACTAGAAGGTCCTACTCCATTGAACGTTGTCTCCCAGAGCTCATGGTTAAATTCCTAAGATGACAAATGATGATGGGGCAAATGCCTCTTTATGATTTGGGTCAACATGTTATTAGTATTCTAATATCTGAATGATCATGATAGATAAGATCCATGCATAGTAGGATAAATAAAAAGGCAAGTTTTTATCTTCCAAAAATTGGTAGATATAAAGAGAAAGCTAAAAGTTTACAGTTGAAGGCGTTTACTTCTTTTAGCTTTGAGTGAGTGTTAACATGACATGCAAGTAGAGTATACTAAAAGGAATCTTTAGCAAAGAATTAGAAGATAGGGCCTTGACTAAATACAATGTGATGTTGACCAGAGCACATATTATTTCTGTGATTCAGTTTTTTCATCTACATAAAAAAGGAACAGAGGAAGAAAATAAAGAAGGTAGGAATAGAAGAGGGAGGGAGTGAAGGAGGAAGGACAAAAGGAAGGAAGGAAGGAAGAGGGTGGAGAATTTGACTAGATTGGCTCTAAAGTTCTGTTATTCTAAGCAAGAAAGGTGGTTTATTTTGACCTGAAATGAGCTCATAGTTTTAGAGCTAGGTGGGGAACATCGAAAGCTTTGAGCCTGAGAGCAGAGATACATACTGGATTTCCCCATGTATAAGACACACCCTTTTTAAAAAAATTTGGGGTCTAGAAACTGGGTGCGTCTTATACAGTGGTTGTAGATTTTTTTACTTGCATTTCCCGCTTTTTTCATGTTTGTTTTTGCACTCATACTACCACTGTATAAGACGCACCCAGTTTTTAGACCCCATATTTTTCGAAAAAGGGTGCGTCTTATACATGGTGAAATACGGTATTTTAGTCATGTATCTTCAGGAAATAGGAAGTCCCTGAAGATTCAAGAAATAGGTGGTAGGATTAAATCAGTTACAATTACAGTCAAGCGAAACAAAGCAGAGAATGCTTGAATGCACTGGTAATTTATTAATTCATCAAAACTATCTTAAGCTTTAATCAAAGTACTTTGTTGGAAGCTTTACAGGTTGTAAAAGACATGTAAAATATAAGCTCTGATTTAAAGACATTTAAACCTAGATAAGACGATAAGGCACACTTCCTGAAAGTTTAAATATATGAGACTACATCTGCCAAATATGTTGCAGATAATATGTGATTTTGCCTTTCAGAAGAAAGACCACTTTTGTCTGCTATAATGAGAGAAGATTTTATAGGGCATAAGGAGCTAGAGATGGGGTTTATGGGAAGCTGAGAAAAATAATTTTCTATAAAATGTATAAAAGAAAGATTTGTAGGGGGGTTAATGAGAAGTTAGTGAGGTAGAGGTGATGAAGATTCAGTCTAATTTCAGAATTTCCCATGAGACTGACAGACTTTACTGAGAGTTCATAGCGCCTCTCTCTCTCTCTCTCTCTCTCTCTCTCTCTCTCTCTCTCTCTCTCTCTCTCTCTCTCTCTAGCTGCCTGAAACAACAGACTCCAGTGGGAAGGTAATAGCCTTAATATGATCTTTCACAAAAGCTCAGTCACTTTGTTTAACTGATTTTTGTCACTAAAGACTTTTCACAGTCTTATGACTTAACTGTATGGAGTCCAGGAGAAGTTGAGTTTTCCAAATCTGTAAGGCTGTTCTTGATCTCTGGCTCTCAATTTTCATTCTTATCTCATTCCTAAATAGCTTGCTATAATTAGGCAATAGTGGCCAACACTCTAGCTCCTTCCAACACTTCTCCTAGAGCTGCTTGCTCAACAGGTAAGCTGTGCTTTGAAGTTATCATTGATAACAAATTTTACCGCATCTTTTTATTGTACAACCAGGACCTGTAGGTTTTCAGTCTCAGCTATCAGTTTTAGTGCCACCTGCTTCCTAATGCTCTTCTATTCTGGCAGCTTTACCTTCCAGTAGCACATTCTGTAATGAATTTGTTTGTCAACCCTGGAAATATCTCCATTCCAACCAGCAGGAAGAACCACATGTGAGTGGTATTTTGGGATCATGTCTAAAAATACCAGACATAATTTCTGCTGTGTTCTGATGGATAGAGCTGTCACATGGTCAGTTTTAACTATGAGGAGGTTGGGGAGTAAAGTCTAGCTGTGTGCCCAGCAAAAAGGGAAAATCCATTTAATGACCCACCTACCAATATCTGGCACAAACGGAGAGAGTGCTGTGATAGATTGACCAATATCTGCCACGGATGAAACGTTGCCATGGGAGCATTTGTGTCATGTATTCTCCATCCTGTTACCAATGCAATTAGACAATTTTTAGCCAATATTCTTACAGGGTTTTAAATAGTTATTTTTCTTTCTTTCTTTCTTTCTTCTTTCTTTCTTTCTTCTTCTTTTTTTTTGTTGAAATACGTAAGTTTGTCTCAAGATATTAGTCTCCATCTGTTCTTAATAATCCACCTAATAACACTTTCCAAATAAATGTTGGCTCAAAATGACAGTTTAAAATTTGAAACACGCACTAGAGTATCTTTAGTAAAAAGCCCAGTTTTAGAATATCCCTCACTTTAAAATTCTGTCTGTTCTCTAATTCCATAGTGCCCAAATATTTTAGAAGCAATATAATCTTCAGTTTATGTCAAATGTCTAAGCTTTCCCTAGGGCACCTGTGTCTCTATAGGGCAGGAGTGACTAGGAACTTTGGTTTGATGCTATCCACTTGGCTAAAGTTCACGGAGAGGAGAAATTGCCCATATAGGAACAGCACTTCCAACACTCATGGCTGAACATAAAATAACTCGGGCCTCCAGGGCTCATGGTAACATTAGAATCACTTGAGGCTCAGGTAAGAAAATTGTAATTAAAAAGGAAATAGAGTTTGAGATATAGCTGAACTTTATTATATAAAAGTAAAGTGTAGCATTTCTTTCTTAACCTTGGAGCCAAGTCTCTGAAGGTGCTGGAGTTCTCGATACCCAAAAAATACGTTGATGAAGAAAGGGGGAGAGGAGAGGGGGGAGTTAAATAGACCACTGCTGAAGTTCTGCCCTGAATTTTATTGAATAATTAAAGCTTGCTTGACACCTATTTCAAGTTTCTCTACTTTTATTTCATCTTAGTTCATTTTCCTCTCATCAGTGCAGTGACAGGCCAAGATGTTGGCTTCGGTTTCTTCACCGCTGCGAAGTCATTCTTCCTCTAACCTACTAATTCTCCCCCAATTCCCTCACTTAGGAGTTGAGCCAAATAGGCAGAGCATCGTTAGTTTTTGTTTTGTTTTATTCTTTTAACTAAAATGGCATGGCCTAGCAGCAGTGTTTCCTTATCCTTCTCTGTGACAGACTGAAATAAACACAGCACCATCTGATAAAGGTCAACTTTGAAACACGGCTGCCTGTTGTGCTCGCAGAGCAGGCCACGGTGCACCCCAAACCTTTCCTGACTACTAATACAATTTAAAATCCAATTAAAACCCTTAGCCTCCTCTTGAAATCGTGAAGGGCTTAGGGACCCCCTCTCATCAGAAACAGCCTACTGAAGTCATCTATCCCTTCCTACTTTCTATCACTGCTTACTCTCAGCAGTTGTTTATTTCTAGGATTAAATTGAAAAGACCTCAATAAAGTCATTTTGGAAATGAAAACCCAAGAGCATAGACCTCTTTCTTCTCACTTATCCACCTGACTCTTGCTATAATAATTCACAATGTGGCACACAAAATTCTCTCTCAACACGCTCACTAGCTTGAAATCCTAGGTCTACCAAATGCCTGTTTTTTTTTTCCCACTTGCATTCACATGGTTTAAATGGAGTACAGCCCGAGAGAAATTGATTTCCCTTTTGCTGCATCATACGTGCATGTTTCTCTGATCTCAGAGCTATGCTGAGCACCTAGCAGTATAACAATTTTAATAAACACAGCACAGTTCTGTCTAGGACGCACACAATTGGGAAAGGTATTGCCTATTAGTCTCTTTGACAAGTTAGACCTTGGTATCGTGCACCTGCCCCAGGTGCTCAGGTCCTCAGTAATAATGTGCCCTCACCTGAGAACTCAATTGCAATGGTGGTTTGCATTTCTTTTTGTGGAACTTCTGTCCCTCTATGCCAAGTACTCACTAGGCCAGCTCATTCTTTGTTTTTGTGCACATGGTGTTAAGGGGTTAAAAAAACAGGGAAGCATATTTACACTTTAAGAAGTAAAGTCTTAGAGGAGTACACTGCTGCTGAATAGCATATGACTGCTCATGGGGGGTTCCTTTCATTCAGATGGTCTGGGAGCTGAAGAATCACAAATGTGGTTCAAACCCTTGACTCTGTATCTATTGTGGCATGTGTCCTCTCCATGCCATTGTTTGGTGGCTAATATACAGAGCAATCCCTTTGCAGGAAATTTACATGTAGGGAAATTTTGCAAAGCACTGGAAGGAGTTTCAAGTCCTTTCCGAAAGTCCACAGGGTTCAATGAAAATAGAATCTAATCAACCTGTAAAAATTGAAATCCCACATCTACTGCATGACTTGATTTGATTTGAGGTATCTTCTTTTTGATCCCCAAGCAATAAAATGAGTTGACTGTCTCTCCAGAAACATTCTCGGCATCTGTGCTTTGCTTAGCCTCCTCCTCTTTATCCTTTGCCTTCTTCTTTCAGGCTTCCAGTTTTGAAAACGTCCTAACTGCTCCTAGGCCCAGGTCTAATTCATCATTACTGTGGCCACCATGGTTTGTCTGCTAACTGAAAGTGAAAGGAAAGCAGTCCTAAGGCTTCTTCCCTCATTTATGATTGGCATTTCTCTGCCCATTCTTTTTTTGTGCTATCCTGTCTCTGAGTTTTATGATTTCCCCTGATTCCCAGGGATTTATGAAGACTTTGCAAAGGACCATTTTTTAATCAATCAAAATTGAATCCAAGCAATTTCAGAATTCCATATGGTGTTTGGGCAAGAGTCCCCTGTGCTCACAACACACCAGACCATACGGTCGTTTCTGTTTAAGTAAACTTTCTTCCATTAAATGTTTCAAGATAGGGACACATGTAATATGGAGAATCAACAGTGGTTGGTTGATTAAGGGAAATAAGCAAAGCCACATGGATTTAATCTTGAGAGGAATATTTTGAAGAAGAGAGTTACATTACATTGTAAGAGTATAGAAAGCATCCAAGATGGGAGGGGTGGTGTATATCATGATTCAAGTACAGAAGTAACTATTAAAGATGCTTTTAAGGGAATATAATTTTTTCTATAATAGTCACTTCAGTATCTGATGAAACATAATATCTAATGTTGGCATACATTATGTTAACCGAGCTTTGCATATTTTGTAAAACCTGCTGATTCGTAATATTTACATCAGCATCTGCTTAATTAGACATGTTCTCCCTTATACCTTCTATGACTCTAGAACCCAAAGCATATATTTAGTATAATGTTTTACATGTTCCTTTATGTATTAATAATACAAACAACCTTTTATTCAGATAAACTCTAAGGCTATGCATAACGCAGTAGCTCATTGTAGGGATAAAAAGAGAAAAAAATATCACTGAAGAATATGAATACAACATAGAGCTCATCAGAATTTTACTATAGAAGTTCAGACTCCCTTAACTACTCTAAAAAAAAAATTGCATAGGGATGTGTGGGAACATTGCTCCATGTTGCTTTCCAGAAACAATACCTGAAGCATGGGTGATTTCTAGCACCACGCCAGTACACAGGTTCAGTTATAAATGACGAGAATATCAGTGAATTGGCCCATTGTCCTTTGATTACCTTCTGCAGTCATCTCCAATCTGTACACAGACAATGCACTTTGTGCTTTTGTGCTGCTCAACTTCTGAGAACTAATGATGTTAGAGCTTAAAATGGGAAAGCTGTATTGTAGTTTGAACCACTAGTTCAGAAATAGAGGAGGGATAAGTGTGGGGTTCTTTGCCCAACTCCAGAAGCACGTCTGGAGGGGAAAAGTTGAAGCCAGCAGACTTGATTTGATTAACCTTCAGCTTCCATCTGCTTTGAAATTCAGCCTTATTTTTATATTTTTTACTTCTTTTCTTTCTTTCTTTCTTTCTTTCTTTCTTTCTTTCTTTCTTTCTTTCTTTCTTTCTTTCTTTCTTTCTTTCTTTCTTTAACAATTGTTGGTAACTAAAATGGGAATAGTCAAAGCAGGTCTGAGTATGTGTATGACAGTTAAGTGTATTTGGCTGTTGTGGTGTTTGTGTTTGGTATTGCTTTAATAAAGAGATCTCATTCTGGAATTCTAAATTCTAAGGTTACTCCTTTGAATGTTTTTCAATTTCTCACTGATCTGGTGCTTATATATTCTATCATATTTCATCTCTTCTATAACATGAGGAGAGATATTAAGAGACAATTTCCAGTAGCTTCCAGTCAAAATAATGAGGTAGGTAAGGCTGTGCTCAGCTCCTCTCACAACCGCATCAAAACTGCAACTAAACTACAGAACAACCATCATTGAGAATCACCTAAAGTCTAGCTGAACTGAAGCCTTACAACTAAGGACATACAGCAGAAGCCACCTTGAGACTGGTATAAGGGGTAGAGATGTAGAACAGGCTGGACCCATACTTGCATGTGACCATTAAAAACCAGGAGGGATACCTCGGCTGTAGAGGACCACTGCCCAGAGGCTAGAGGGATCCCCGTACCACACCAAACTCCCCAACCCAGGATTCCAGTGCTGGGGATCGAAGTCTCCATAACTTTTGGCTGTGAAAACCAGTGGAGCTTGTCACTGAGTGAGATGGAGGGTGGCTGCAGTCCCAGGTGTTCCTCTTA